GAATAACATGTTTGCATTGCTGTGGATACAAATCAGCCTACTGTTTATTTACACCTGGTCTGGGAGAGTATTTCACATGTTGTTTTTTTTTGTCAAACATGTTATACAAGTACAATGATATTTTATATAGGTCATAGTAAAACGTAAATTAGATATAAATTAATCAAGCAATACTGATTAAACTGTAAACTGATCTGGCAAATTATTTCACAAAGCTAATTAAAAAATTTAATTGGTAACCTATTGGTTATTATTTGTATTGCTCAAAACAAGCAGATGTTATTATCTGTTATTATCAAATAGTTAGCAATTGGCAAATTAAAATGAAAGTATTTGCATTTGGCTGTTTGCAATGATAATATAATAATAATTAATATCTTAAAGGTATTATAAGCCGAGTTAGCCATCGTCAATAGATACTAAATCTTTTATAACAAGGTGCAAATGGTAAAATTTTAACTATATTTAGTAACATATACAACATTGTTAACGATTATTACACGGCAAAAGAATCAACATATTGACTTGTTGAAATTGCAGTGACCTTACAGCTAGATCTGATCAATTCGCCAAAATTTTTTCCTATTTTGTAATTTGACATACCTACATGTATTTAGCATTGTTTAAAAACAGGTACAATCAGGCTTATGTTCAAACACTGGCAAAAACCGATTGAAGAGTACGAAAATAAGGACTTAATCGATCTATCTATCCATCAATAGTATTTTGGGCATAATTCTAACAAAAAAATGACACTTATTGAATAGTTGTGTTAACGCCTCCCTTTTTGTAGGACACTTTTACGTTGCCGATGGTGCCAGTACCGTGTCGATGGCTCGATTGCGTTTGAAAAAAAGATAATCTTTTATTTTTGAGCCAAGCTTTGTTAAATGTATTTGTGTTGAACTGTCGAAGGGGGTGAGGATAATGTTCCTTCCGCGAAAAAATTGGCAGGCATTTAGTTTACGGTAAAATATCACTCAAGGAAGATGTCAAAATAGAAGAATAAGACGCAAGTTTATATTTTGTAAAAGTTTAAGAAGCGTCAACTTCGAAATCTTTAATAATTAGAAGGTTTTTTTTTGTGGCGTAGAATTTTTTCATGTTCGAAAAATAGTATACTTTGGAGAAAAATATCTTTAGAAACCATGCTTACCCTTTTCAGTTTAGTTTTGGTCAAGGCTCTAAAATGGAAATGACGAAGGCTTTAATTTATATAGAAGAGCCACCATTAAGTGGTGTTGTAAGGAAAGCGATATATTTTGCAACTGTGTCGATGTCCTTTTTTCATGTTGATAACTGATAGCAACGATGTAATAATGTCTGTAAGACTTTCTTAATTTGATAAAAAAAAACAAAAAAACGTTTTTGTTTCATGAAGCCTGAACAAATTAATTACTGTTTCGATAATTGCAAAACAATTTCACTATTTCTGAAAAGGTTTATGACAAGATCAATATATTTAAAAGCACATGAAGACAAAATTCATATCAGAAGAAAACACTTTTTATATTATTTACAAAAGTACGAACTCATAATTGGCTCGTAAATATTACAGTTCTAGAGTACAGTATGAAACAGACAGAACTGAAGTCAGACACCAGCTTCTGATAAACAGGATGCTTTGACTTTAATGACATTATAGATAGTCCTCCCAATTAAAGCATTGCTGATTTATATAACGGTAAAAATGTCTTCTCGATCATTGGGGAAGGAGTATACCATATATATCTTAGATATTTAGCAGAAAACACTACATTGACCCTTACTCAGGGATCATAGTTTTTGCTTATATGCGTCAATTAAAAACTTCCAAATTTCTGTTTCTCATAAGCCATGAAGACTAACTGACTTATATTTAGCAAGAAACATTGTCTTGTGAATTTCTTAAAAGATTGCTCAATCTTTATCCAATAGTCTAAGTTGTCACCACCCCGTGGTCATGGATTGTCCTTGTTTCTATATAGTTAAGACTCATGGCATATTTTTTAAAGTTTCGGCTTTGCAATTTTGACATTTACGTAGTTTAAGATACAACCTTGAACTTTGACCTAAATTTTATTGTAGACCCAGTGACCTACTTTAAATAAACAAAGTTAAAGCTTAAAAATTTGAACTATATGCACAGTATCAGATGCAGAATTACATTATTACCTATATTATCACACATTTATATAGACATCACCGATACATGTTCGTATTTTTTACAATTGGAATGCAAAATCTGTTTTTTTAATAGATCGTAAAGGCGGAGAACATAATATTAACTCAAATGATAATTGTTCGAGAGAAAAGTTACATTACTCCAATATTTTGCCGATATTTCTAAAACAAAATGCAATCAAACTGTGTTTTTTTCAAAGATTAATTGCATTGTTGAATATTTGTTTTGTATCCTTCAAACGTCGATATAGTTTTGGTAGTTTCAGCTTTGAAAATTGTAATTAACTGAGAATAATAATATCAGTTATATGTTTCGGTTCAGATCCAAATGGATCAGCCCATTGGGCGGTAACATTGGTTGCTGAGTTACGGGTGGGTTCATATTGGGCATATATATGCCAATCCTAACCATAAACATAGCGGATATTCATTGCTTGCTACCATATTCCATAATTATTAAATTCTTTACCATAAAAAATAATTCTCACCGAGTTGTATGTCATTACACTATATTCGTACAATTAAGTATGAACTTACGGCAAAATTACGTCATCTTGTATAGCATGCGACTCAACTGGCATTCCCGATGCCAGATGACATTTCCGGCAGGGGTAAAACTAACGGAAACGCCAGTCCGATATGTAAGAACAGATATTGTTCAGAGATCAACAACAAATGTTTTCCCATGTAGATCAATTGGTAATATCTAGCATAGGTTTCTATATATTTCAAATACAAAGTCAAAGCGGAAGGAAATTCCAGCTGAAATGTCAAAGAAAGAAACAACACTCTGAGCTTTACATTGATACATTTCAATAGTATAAAACAAAGGTATTTTTGAAAGATATTGCAAATACAAATCTTAAATCAGTCGTTTTGTCAACAAACAAATGCAATATGCTTTACGGTTGAAACTTGAATGACCTACTTTATAAACGATGTTTTTTTTTTCATTTTTCAATCTACAATTGAATGGAAATTCAGCATTTTTATTTACTTTCCCATGAGTGTTTATTATCAATAACATAATTGTCGGTCAGATTGACAAAATATATTTTTCCAGGACTGTATTACATAATCTTCTGTTTCAGTGAGAAACTAGTTAAGTATTACTTTTATGTCATATATGTAAGGAGTGGCGATATAACCTGTTTTGTGTTAAATAATAAATGTGAGATGAGGACAAAATGAAGAAACTATTTCAGAAGTTAGTTGTTCTGTTTGCTTTATCTTTATTCTTTGAGCCTTATTCTTGTGAAAAGATCCAACGTTTCTCAGCTAACGGAAGAAATGCGGGATTTCTAGAAGTACGAAATGTTCAATTTATTTTCAACACAATGCGCATTTCAAGTCGTTTAACTATCATAAAAATGATCAAATATGCGAACTGAGTAGCCTTTATCCGGAAAGCGTAACAGCAGAGGACGGCTGGTCGGTGTACGCATATAGTGGTAAGATTTATGCTTAAAGACTCTCATCTCAAAGTATACAGGCATATTTGCATCAATAAATTAAACACAATGCTTTATAAACTAATGTATACAAATAAAAAAGAATAAGAAAGCCGCAAACCAGTATATTTTGAATGAGCACGAATAATTTTATATATTTAAAAAATACTAGTATATTTTGTTGCAATTTTGTTTCGCTGTTATTCATGTTATTCAAGAAGTTGGCGCTTGTATGTGAAATGATTTACAATGTCGAACCTTAAAGACCCGCAAAAATGTACTGTAAATGTTCAACTGCATAGCACATCTTTCGACAATCTACGAAAAATACACTTATATGGTATGTGAACGAAACAATCGTAAAATATGAGAAACGTACACATTTAACATAGAAAACTGACAGACGGAAGAGTTTTTGAATGCTAGTTGGACATGCGCACATATCGGTTGTTTTCTATCAATATATGCACAAGCAATGTAATTTATCAAACAAAATATAAGTTCAGTGTCATTATACTACAATTAAGAATCACAGATATCTTTTTTTTGTTTAGTTTAATAACTTAAATGTTATTTTTGTATGCATGTTAATGTGTCATGAAAGAATGAGGCTAAAAATATTAAAAGAGTATTCGGTTGCCTCTCACTTTGATTTTTGCAAGTTGCAAACACTTTATTTCTTTAAAAAATCAGTGTTTAAAATACTGCAAGTTTATAATACCAGTTATTTTTTTTTTAAATTGATGACGGTTCCTGGGGAAACTGGTTAAACTGGGTTTCGTGTTCGGTAACTTGCGGTGATGGAACAATGTCAAGGTCAAGGCTATGCAACGAAGGCGACCAATGTCAAGGGTCAAATGTCGAGCAACACGCTTGTAATGAAGGGGAATGCACGGCGACTGGTAAAGATTTTGTGGTATTAGTTATCCATAAAACAGAGAAAGCAAAATTAGTGGTCAAAAAAGAAGTATCTTTTAAACGATTTTAAGCCATGTTTATTCTAAATAAATTGTTTTATTGTGATTTTGGCATTCAAAGTTTTGGTTAAAATTTCGGCTTATAACGAATCAGGTCTTTAGAGGACTGCTATTTTCATATTTTTGTGTTCATTCTTATTTATTGCATTAGTCATTTATTCATTTTATGAGAAAAAAAATATGAAATCGGTTAGTTGTTTGATCAACTATATATCTATAAATATCTTGCAAACTTATGGTTTAGGAAGATCGATATTTTTCTATAAAAAATGTCAGATAGTTTTGGTAGGAGAAGATTTAATGTGTTCGTGAACTGATAAAAAAATATCAATACTAAATAACTGCCCCATTGAAATGCTTCTTGTTATAACATAAACTACATTGTATCTAGTGTCCTGTGGGGACGCCAGTGTAGTTTTGCATAAAGCAAACGGGACATTTTACATGGATACAGCTACTGTTACATGTGACGCCTGGTATCAAACCAGGAACAATACAATAACCGGTCAGATATCTGGAGAATGGGAAACAACGATATGTGAAGGTATCGGAATTTATGCAGTATTTTCCATCTGTTATGATTTGAAGGTTAAATGTTCTTCTTTTCACATATTAAAAACAAAACAAAAAAAACCAATAGCTGTTGTAACGCATTCGCTTGTCACATATAAGGATGCTTTTTTGAAAGACGTTTTTTTAAATACATTTTTGTATAGCTTTATATTATTCATTTTCATATTTTCATCTAGAGTCCTGAAAATGTTACGTCTTTCAGTTGCGATTCACATCAAATTTGTTTTAATGAGGAAACTGAGTCAATTTTGTTTGAGATGTATGAATTTGTGTTGCAGATTGCTACTTGACGACACCATGGGAGTATACTGGGAAACGGAATACAACAGTCACAGGAATGCCGTGTCACCGATGGGATTCACCTGAGGCAATGATTCATGGTTATACTGATCTTCAATACTTCCCCGAATCGACATTGTCGGAGGCTGAGAACTTTTGTAGAAACCCAGACAGTTGGGATTATGAGCCATGGTGCATCACAACAAATGAAAATGCTCCAAATTATTGGGAATATTGCGATATAAAGAAATGTTAATGGAATTAACTAGACCAATATAAAGTGTGAATTTTAACATGCGCTTCAAAACATTTTATCTTTCGAGAATCCAATGATGTCACAGTAGACTCTATCACAATGGACTTATTCATTTTTACTTTATTTTCATCTCAGATTTTTTGACTTTTATTCGCTAGATACATAATTTTGAACGACAGTATTCAATATTTTAATAAGAAAATTTATAACTAAGGCTATTAAGTTCGAGAAATTAGAGTGCTGCAGATTACAATACTGTTGTTTATACGGAGTTACAAAATGTTGCAGTTTTACAATTATAATTTATTTTCTATTTTTATTAACAGAATCTGTATTATTAAAATTAAACGTTAAATTCCGTTCAATACATTATTTGAAAGTTCAGTTCTCCTTGTCATGTATAAGTGTTTTAATTATGTACATGTTTGAAAATTCAAAGAGTTACCGATATTGATTTCCAGTTACGTCAGTGGAAGATATTGAATGAGATTTTTTTTTAATCTATTAATATTTCTAATGATAAAAAGCACTGTCAAATATGCAGGGGTTTAGAAATGAATTATGTTAATAAAACATATCATAATATAGATAGTTTCCAACAGCATAATTCAAGAACGGCTCATTCAGTTTCAGTTCCAAGCATCACTGTGTGACAATGTTTCTATCCAAAAGTGATACCTGCCGAAAAAAAAAAATATTTTTGTACGTTATTAACAAAAATATTATTACAAAACATATGACGAAACCGAAGCTTAGATACACTGCAGGGAAAAAATATTAAATAAATATACTTGATAGAGTTTAATGGAAATTGATATGCATTTTATCAAATATTCTTTACAGTATTTAAAATTGGTGAATAAGAATATATATTTGCCAGGATTATTGTATCCCCCGTAATACGTGGAAAGCCTATAAGCGGGTACACTGGTTTGATGTTGTGTTTCTTTGAAACCGCTATATACTGATTTGAAAAAAGTGTCGCAATACTGTGTCCTTCACCCATCAACTGAACATGTACATGACCGTGCACCTTTTTGTCAAATTATTCTTATTTCATTAAAGTTAGCCATTACTTATTTTATTAACTGAAATATTTAACTGATGCTTGACAAAGCAAACACTTGTCATTAGTGAGACATTCAGGTATGACCTTGGCGTAACAACGACCTTGACAGTTAAGGCCAAATACTAAATTGACATAATTGTGTTAGTAATAAAATGATCTGATCTTAATTATAAATTATGACATTAACATTTAAAGTTAATGCAGGTTCATCATACTGCCGGTTTTGAATATTGTTCAAAACTAAAAAAAACTTTAAACTATTTAGCATACTTTTATTTTATATATGGAGTTCTCTTCGTTGAATTAAAAAAAACACCAACAAGGTAAAAGTGTGGGATGGATCGGAAACAATGTGGTACGTACCAAGACATGGACTGATTAAAGATCGAGACAGGGTGGGCTGTATTTTGCGGCAAAGCAGTATAATCACAGCACGTAACTGTTCACTATTGAGGGAAGAAGATGTGTAAGCGAACGGATAGCTTAGTCGGTAGTCAGCTGCGGAACAGTATTTTAGGGGTCAATGAGTCAAGTCCTAGTCCGGATGCACATTTTTCTAACCCTTTGACATTTGACTGACAACAGATAGTACTCAAACAATGTGAAATTGGCCTTGGAGTTTAATACTATCACTTATTCAACGGGGGACCTTGATGGTATACAGTTCTAAGTCCTATTTCACATTGTTTACTGTACTCGAAAGAAATTCAAGGACGAATTTCAATATAGCAGTGGAACAATTTCCAAACTGTTCACTATTTAGGTGAGTCGATGTATAAGCAACCTTATAGCCCAGTCGGTTGAGCCGTAAACTGGTATTTAGAGGGCACAATGTTCAAGTCCCGGTAAGACTGCACTCTTTTTTTTAATTTATGACAGTAACACAATGGCAGATATTAGGCATTTAATGTTGTTTAGTAACAATAAAGCATATTAATACATATTAAGTTCATTATGTCAATAAATGTCAATTTCAAGTGCCATTAAAAATATTTTATGATGCCCTCTTTTAGTAAATACTTATATTTAATAGTTTACACATGATTCATAATTTTTTTGAGTCACACACTCCTTCCCACCTGACACCAATGAAAGTGCATAAGGTTGACGGGTTTCCTTATTTTCCTCATTTTTTCTCACTAACAGTTTTGGACCCCAAAAAAATTATTCTTAATATTATACATTTGTACTTTTAATCATAATATTTTATAAGGCTTGTGTGGACACCGATTTAAATGTCACCTCATAACATAATAAAGCCCTTGTCTAGAAAATGTGTTGGACTGCAGGTTTGTAATATATTTTTTCCTTTGTGTAAAAAATGTCATGTTAATTTCTTCCGCTGCTATGTAAATGACTTGATGACTTAATCGTTGATTTGCTTAAGTTTCTAACATTCTTTTGATTTTTGTTTACACAGGAAGCGGTGTCGACATAATTAACGTTTATCTTAGAGATTACAGGACTAAAACAAAGTATATTTTTATAAAAACGAACCTGATTTTTATTTTTAATATTAGCGTATGATACCTTATATTGTTTAAAAAGCATTTGGTGAGGCTGTGACAAAAATTTTATTTTGTGTCAGGTTGTGTGCATTTCAGCTCAAACATTAACCCGTTTAAAACACATGCATGGCTATCATTTAACCAACTCGCTAAACGATCTAGCTAAAGTTATTGATAATAGTTACAATATTTTGTTTAATGTTTTGAAACGTTTATATTACGCGTTCGTTAAAGCGTGCGAATATTGTTTAGCGTATTTCGTTAAGCTCCTGCATTATTCGTTTGGTAAAGCGCGCGTGTAAAGTTCGTTCGTATAGCGTTTAACGTGCATGCGTTTTTTCCCCAGAGCGTGTGATTTTAACGGAAACGTTCACCCTACTGTATGCTTACTTTCTTATAACGATAACTGTTTTCTATTTACGTCATTAAAAAGCAATTAAATATGAAAAATAAAATTTCTGGTACAATATTATAACAGACCTTTGCTCTTCAAATGTTTCTCTTTATTAAAGTTTCTTCGAGCATGATTGTAGAAAACTCTACTTTGAGGTTTGTTTAATTTAAATTAATTATAAATGCTATTGTCTTCTTAAGACTTTGATCAGTGTATTTGAATTACCTGTGATTTTGGTGGCAAATGTCAATGGATAATTGACCGAACAGCTGATTCTGGATACCAAGTAATATATCAAATGTTTTCATAAGATAAAGTGACACTTACTCTTGACATGTCTTATAATGACGACACAAAAAATAGAAAAAATAGTCACATCATCGCATTAGTTGTGTCAGATAACGAGAACTTTCTATGGCGTTCATAAGCCTCGGTTTATTTACTAGAATGTCTTGCTAAGCTTCGGTTAACTAGACCATCTATGGCGTTGCTAAGCCTTGGCTGACTTTCTATGGCGTTGCTTAGTCTCTCTAAACTATACCTTCAATGACGTCGTTTAACGTCAGATCACTTAACGTTTCCAAGGCGTTCTTGGTCGTGTGGTTTTTGACTGCATATCATAATTACCTATTACGGTTTCGAACCCGTCATGGATTTTTGCTCTGACACGTAAAGAAGATAGCTAGCAAGTTAATAGAACATCGGTCGTTCTACTCAGGTATCCCTTTCGTTTAAAAATGGGTACCTGCGTCTTCTTGAACGGGTAAAGCTGGAAACCAGTCATAATTTGTGACCTTCTTGTGTTTTTTTTTTACCTAAAGTCTTACCCACCTTCGCTCCCTCATTCCAAAGTAAGCTATTTATGATAATACCGTTAAGCCTCGTTTATTTAGACTTTGCATGACATAATTATGGCTAAACTCTAACGTTGATAAGCTTCTATTAACTAGACGTAACATTCATGGCATGAATAAGGACAGTTCTCTACATAACAATAACGAAAAAAAAAGGAATCAGATTGAAATTTTTAATTTACAATAACTTAAAGCGATGATTATTTTATTTTTTTCAATGCATATTACTTCTAACACAAAATATTTTATATTCACACAAAGAAAAAAATCTTAGTAGATTGATAATTTATCTTTATCACATAAAGCTATTCAATAAAAACGATATAACACGAGGGTAGTAACACTTAGACATGATGTCTTTTGTGCTACACAAACATAGCGTTATTTTTAAGTGCGCCAAAGTTAGCGTTACGTTATAGACGCTTCAATGAAAATGACTCTGTTTAACTGTTTACCGTTCTAATTTTATATATTTGATAAAAAGATTATCATATGTGATAAAATATGATAAATAGAATATAATATATTATATTGAGTGTAGATTCAATACCAGGTTTGTTGAACTCGTTGCATAATTATAAGAGGTTAATACTTGGTTGCTGCTCGGCATTATGCGATAATGGCCCGAAGATGAGCATAATGGCCTGAGGGCCACATGCCCAAAGGACATTATGGACTCGAGAGCCATTATCGCATAATGCCGAGCAGCAACCAAGAATTAACGTCTTTAATACCTATGTCCGAAATAAGGCATAAAGACATCGCCGCTAATCTTGGTTGTCGCCCTTTTTAAGAAACGGACAGTTGTCAATGTAAACAAAAATATGTCATTCAGTTTAACCCTCTTATTAATTTGAAAACATGAGAAAACAAAATAAATATGAGACAATGTCGTTTAATTGTTGATTATATTTTTATTTTCTTTTGTGCCTCCGAGACTGATTTCTTGCTCCATTTGTCATCGATCCGATCTTATTTCTACAGTCAAACTGAAATCATTTTTGGAAAATTCTGAGGGTTATGTTTTGTCTTTGGTAGAGTTATTGTATTCTTTTATTGAGTTTATAAATCTTCAATGTTAAGTTTTGTTGATTGAGACTGATTACGTAATTTAAACTGAAAGCTTTATGTGCAAGGGACTACAGTTCATTCAACGTCAGCAGCCATCTTGAAAGTCACTGAGAGTTGATTACGTCATTTTGCACGTGCGCTCATTCACTCGCCCATTATAGAAAAATAATGCCGAGTAGCGAGGCGGACGAAATTGCATAATGACCTAGATCTTGCCATAATGGCCGTAAAATACCCTAGATTGTGTTACTATATATAGCAACATAGGTATTTAAACAGTTTAATGCTAGCCAGAGGCTCGCACAATATGATGTACGTTATTTATCTCGTTTAATAAATTTATTCAATCAATTTCCTGTATATACTTTGTACTTTATATTTATTTTTTATTTATTATCTATCTATTAATAATATTTGGCAAAACTCC